TATTTTTGTCATGACAGGAGTCCAGAGCGAAGGCTGCATAATGGAGTGGACCTGGGGGGAGGGAGTGTAAAACAATGAAAGAATTTTCTTTTACTTTCCAAGTGGGTAGTGTTCTGAGGGGAAGGGTTGGGAGGGGAGAAAATGGGACAACGAATGAATGGAAATCCCAAGTCTCTGTAAATTTTCATTGAAATTAATAATAAAAAAATTTTTTTTAAAAAAAGGAAGAAAAAAAACCACCAAGGTGCACCTGACTCAAGCCATAAGATTTTTATTTTGCTTCATCTGCATGTAACAGTTGGACAATGAATAAGGAAGACTCAAGAAGAACTGCGACCTTGGAATCACCGTGTTGGTAAAGAATAGTGAATCTAACATGCATGGCTAGAAACAAACTGATCTGGGAAGGAGGAGTGCAGCCACAGAAGCAAAGCCGGTCAAACTTTCTCTCATTTACGTTGGGCCTGTTGACTGGATGCATCCGTCCCTGGATAGAGATGTCAAGCTCGAAAAAGCAGAGAGTCAGTAAGGGAGAAGTTCTTTAGACAGACTGACATAGTGACTGTAACAACGGGCTTAAGCACGGCGGAAATGGGAATGAGGGCGCAGGATCAGACAGGGTTTTGTTGTTAAATGTAGGATCAGTGTAAGTCAGCGCTAACTTGAACACCTAAAACAGCAACATTCAAAGTAGAGATTTGCTGTGGATTGGATGTGGGGGAAGGTGGGAATAATTTTATGTTAGCCTGTATTATAGGTGGCTGGAAAAATGAAGTACTTGACTACAAGCTGAGAGGTTTGTTCAAACCCACCCAGAGATACCTTGGAAAAAACCGGATTAATTTCCTTCCGAAAGATCATAGCCTTTAATATCCTTTGGAGATTTTTTACTCTCACATATGAGGTCATGATGAGTTGCAACAGACTCAACAGCAACTAAGAACAACATCTTCATGAGTCTCACCTGGAGAGAGAAATGGCTAGAGGAGGCAAAAGATATATTGGAAAGAAGCGGCAGTCACTTATATTAGTGAGTGCTGGGGGTGTGCTAGTCATTTTCTGATGTGAACACTATTCATGTGTTTCCTATGTTCTTGCCTTGCTTCATTGTGCCCACAGGGTGGCCTTATTTGATGTTAATGTTCTATAAAATTGTTTCTGTTCAACAAGAGGCTACCAAGGCCTTGCTGTAGGGCCAGGCCAGCTCCTAGGACTCAGAAGTTGTTTTTCTTTTGCATACCTTTTGTCTGTTGCTATACATGGGACAGTGCCCAGATTGCTGAACGGAGTGACACAGGCTTCCGCTCTGAAACGTTTAGCAACACCTCTTGGCTTTTTGCTCCAGGAACTTATAAATTCCGTCTGTGAAGTTCATCTTCCTCCCACCCCCAATCTTATTCAAGTCTAGTGCGCTTTTCTTTGCTTGTCAGAGGACCCCGAGACTGAGACATACTTATTTCCATAATGATCTTGAACATTTTCAGTAAATCTCTGCTTTTCTATTTGGTAACCCCTCCAAATTCTCTTAAGCCACCTCTTCTCTAATCTTTGATTCACTTTCTTTTTTATTCACTTTCATTACTCACCTCCTGATCCATTTGGAGCCCTTAAGAAGCCCCCATTCACAGGAAGTCAAACAGTCAGTAGGTAGAAGGAACCAGTGGAAGGGAGGAATTGCTTCAGAGAAAAGGCTCCCTGAGGTTCTTTATTGGCAGCTGACCGAATCTGAGGCTGTCAGAAGTGGAGAGGCCTTGCGATCCACATGCTCACTCCCTTCCTGATGCACAAAGCTACATCCTTGGTTAGTTCTCTTGGATGGGAATACCTCCATGGAGGACAAAGTGGGTCTGGGACCCAGGAAGGGAGCAAGGCTGAGAATCTGGGGGCTTTATTGCCTCAGTTTAAAATTTCAAGGCTGTGGATATGGCTGTGAGAATATAAAGTGATCTAGAAATGGCCCAGTTTCTTCCTTTTCCTTGCAAACTTCTTGCCTCAATACAGCGTCCATTCCTTTATATTAATCATCATGACTTCAGTGGAAAACTGTTGGGAGGAGCAGAACATTTCTTCATTAATGCTTAATTAGGAATAAATGTCTCCCGTCACTTCTTCCCAGGAAGGCTCAGGTGAATGGTGTGAGACCACCAGGCACCTGATAGAAGGGCGAGACTCTGGTAGGTAGAGGGTGTAGGAAGGATGCTCACAGTGACCAAGTTAAAATTCACTTACCTTTCAGCCTTGCAGGACATTTGAGCAGAATTACAGGAGAATTTGAGGGTTGAAGAGTTTATTTTGCTAGATGGAGAAAGGGACAGACTGTGTTATCAAGTTGTACTTTAGAAATTTTGAGATACATTTCTCCAACTTCACATAGTTCAGCCTGCATGTCTCAGCTGGGGGCTGAGTCTGGGAGGGAAGGGACTCTGTGTTAAGGGGTGAATGGTCAGTGAGGTGCAGTCTGGGTACATAGTTTAGGTTGGGAGGGATGGTTTGGGACTCGATGCATACCTGTATGAAAGGCTTCAGTGTGAGGTGGAATGGAGGAGAGAGGCTTTCCCAGAGTAGAACTTGTCTTCAAGGGGCATTTTGAGAAACAGCAGGTTATTTACTACTTTGGCATCTCCAAGGCACATGTGCCTTGAGGCTGAATTCTGTTTTCATAGTGTCAAGAAGAGAAGGTGATTTGATAGTTGATTGTTCAACTGAGTCTCATTCTTGCTCCTTTTTCTTGCATCCTCACCCCTTGCCCTAGACCTTGCCGTGGTTGGCACTGCTTGGGTGACAGATGAGACGGAGAACTCCCTCGATGTGGAGTGGGAGAATCCCCCTACCGAGGTCGATTACTACAAGCTGCAGTATGGCCCCCTTACAGGACAGGAGGTGGCTGAGGTCACTGTGCCCAAAAGCAGTGACCCCAAGAGTCGATATGACATCACAGGTAAGAGATGAGAGCTGGAGGTATGAGATGCTCACTGAAGATACTGAGGCAGGGATCAGGCATCCCACTGTAAAGGTGTGAAACAGAGGGCCTTGGATCCCTAGGAATCAGACCTAACCCCTCATCCCTGAAACTCTAAGACATGAATCCAATCTGGAGGCACTAATTCTGCACCTATATTCAAGCATTAGCTCCTCCATCTCAGATCATCCTTGTTAAAAGATGACAAAGATCTGATGTCCCAGGTGAGCTAAGCCTCCTCAGGTTCCTGTGTTTGGGCCACAGGATGGATTTGATGGCACTGGAGAGAAAATGTTCTTGGAAGAACTCGTGTGTTTGTGTGTGTTTGAGAGAAAGTGAGAGGGAGGCAGAAGAAAGGAGAGAGAGCAGAGACTGATTTGTTCAGCACCAAGCACTGCAGTGAGCTTTCTGAAGAGGCTTCAGTGGGGAGGGTCCCTTTCCCTGATGATTGGGCTAGTGCTGTGGAGACGTGAGAATCAGGTGGGTGTGAAGGAAACAAAGCCATGCGGGAGAGGCTTGTGTTCTGTGATGCCTGAAGCTTTGTGATGCCTTCTTTGGGAAAAGTAGTACACAATTGAATGTACCATGGACTGCCAAGAAAACAAACAGATTCATCGTAGAGAGGATTAAGCCAAGCTGCTCCTTGGAGGCAAGGATTCTGGGGCTTCGTCTGACATACTTTGGACATGTTGTAAGGAGAGACAGGTCTTTAGAGAGGGACATCATGCTGGGTAGAGTAGAGGGACAGCGCAGGAGGGGAAGACCCTCTATGAGGTGGATTGATTCAGTGACTGGGGTAATTGGGATGGGTGTGTCAGAAGCAATGAGATTGGCACAGGATAGAGCACGGTTTAGGGCTGTTGTACATAGGGTCACTATGAGTCGCAAATGACTTGACGGCACATAACAACAACAACAACAGTACACAATTATGAATACCAAATTAGGTACAGCCCTTTTGAAGGGGGCTGGGCATGTGAGGAGCCCTGAGACCAGTTGGCTTCCTGGAAAACCCTCTACTGGGGCTTCTTGGGCTTTATGTGATCAGTGATTATGGTCTTGAGAAGACTCTTGGGGGCTCCCATATTTGTGGAGGGGGAAGTGATAGACGAACCACAACGTCCATCACCTTTTTCACCACTACTGGAGTCCGTTTGTCATGAGGCACAACCATTTAACTTTATTCTACAGGGAAACAGCAACACCAAATCTAAGCCAGTTATTTCAATAAGGAAATACATTTTTGAAAGGATAAAAGATAGTTAGGAGCAGAAAAACATTTGGGGCTGAAAATAAAATTGGAAAATAAGTGTTAGGTGCCTCAACAAAGGAATTGAGAGTTCCATCAACTTCATCTCCTTAGCTGATCCTCTGCGCCTACCCATAAGCCCCCTCAGTGATGCCTCCCAGCCCACTGACCTTTGATATACTGTAGTGACACGGTGGATTCAGCCTTGAGATGCTTACTAAAAGGTCTATAGAGGGATGCTACCAGCCTCTCCCCCCCCCCGCCCCCCCCCCCATGAGAGAAGGATGTCATAGTCTGCTTCTGTGAACACGTACAGCCTTGGAAACTCAATAAGGCAGTACAAGTCATAGGATTGCTATAAGTCAGAATCAACTCAATGGCAGTTGCTTTTTTTTTTTTTAAATTACTACTCTTTGTCCAATTGGCAGCATCATTATGGATGGTGAAGAGATTGAGATAGTTAACAGTTTTAGTTTGCTTGGCTCCACAGTCAACACTCTTGGTACCAGC